TTTTTTCGTGGTTTTTGTATTAGACCCGTCGTCCATTTATTTGTAAGTCAATGATAATCCTAATATTTATAAGTTTTAACATAATATTAAAGTTACATGTGAACCATGTTCTATGTTATCAATAAAGACGCGCCTATATGAATTCTTGCCAAGTTCAAGTTTTCTAGTAAACAAGCAATGTTTTAACATTTTATTCAATCTAACAGTGCTTTTTAAATAAGGCCTCATATTTGAGATTTTGATGGAATATTTTCTATATAGATTTTAAAAAAACTGTGAACGTAGGCAAGTAATAAATTGCTTATATTACAACACCCCAGACTTTTAAAATATTTTGAAACGCTATATTATACACATATTTCGAATTAATTAGAATTAACGTATACTTACTTCCCGCACACAAATTCGAGTTAATTAAGTAATACGTTTATACCCCTAAATATGTAACAGTAATTCTGTTGAGCACATTTAGCATAATCCTATAGCCGAGATTAAATTATTATTTCAATATCACGTGAAACTCGCCCGTGGAAGCTTCGGTCGTTTTGGAATTTTCATTTAGTTGCAAAATATTTGTAGAAGATATAAATTTGCTAATATTTCATCGCTGATGTCGTACAGTCTCGCAAGACAGAGTGTAAGGGCGCCTTCAAATTATACGCTTGTAGAGGCGCTGCAGTACCATGATCACAATTTTCATACATTGTCTAGACGGGTGCGCACAGGTATACGAGTAGGTACACGCCCGCCGCGCGCGTGCTGCATTAATGCAATTAAATACATGTTATAGCGCGCCTCCTTAACCATACATTGACGTCTGTCAAATAGATGTCAGATTGGTTGTCTTTTTCGCGCCATCGGCGGTCTTTCGGTCTTTTTGCGACTTTTCGGTGTCTACGTGTGCAATTTACATATGATTCTCGACCAAGGGTCCCAGAATACACAAATCAAGGAGATTCTCATACTATAATGTTAATAAATCGTCGGTGTTTTGTAGAAAGGGCGAAAGCGCCATTTTCAAAACAAAATCTAGTTTTTCAGGGCTGTTTTAAAATATTTACGTCCTGTTTTTTAACTTTTTTTTAAAACTTAAACATTTAAACCCAATATTTTAAAACAGGATGTAAAAATTTACAAACAGTCGTTAAAACCTAAAAACATGGTGTGTTCGCCCTACTATCGATGATATGAGGCGCGCGAGGGGCGCCCGAACGGCACCCGAACAGATCGCCTTTTCGCAAACAGGCGCATTTGCGGCGCCTTCGCCTTATCTGTACGCACCCCAAAAGTGGAGCGCGCATGGCGCGACTGTGACGCGGCAGCAGCGCCTCTAAATATTGTATGAAAATTTGTAGTGGCGCGGATTCAGCGCCATAGTGGCCCCACTGCAGCGCTTGTATAAGCGTCTAATTTGAAGACGCCCTAACAAAAGAGGTGAGTTCTGCAGCCTGTGATCATAATTATAACAAAAAAACAACTTAGGCAAAATAAAATTCGTCATAAAAAACTTGGATTCCGCATACGGTCAAAAGAATTGTACAGTTGAATTGGGGAATGGGGAATCTAATTTTCTTCCGCGAAAACAAATTTACATTTTTTTATTTTTTTATTTGTTATATATGAGTACCTACTGAAGTTTTGCTAATACATGGAATCGCACAAGTTCTAAACATTTGTCCAAAGTTATTTGATTGCACTTTTTATTAAATTATTGTTTTTTTTTTCATTTATTATCTAAAATAAAAATTACAAAGTATTGTAATAAATTCTATGCATTTATGTTTTCTGGTCTTGTTTATTGATTTGTCAAGGGAGTAGGAATGGTTAGAAATGACACAATATTTTTCGGATCTAAATTGCGTTTATTTGTTTGAAAAAAACATGACATTTTAACGCACCGAGACTCCGTCACATGTCAACGGGTATTTGATACATAAATGTGAACGGACTGTGATAATTTCAGAGACAGTGACATTTCAACGTACCGAGAGTCTGTGACTTCGCACGGTACTTTACTACGCTAAATGTGGATTTTATTGTTTAAAAATTTACCGTTTATATTTCTAAATGGTAAATCTACAATAAAATCCACATTTCCGTAGTAAGTACCCGCGACATGTCTCGGTACGTTGAAATGTTACAAATGTGGACCCACCTTTGAAGGTCGGTATCGCTGGTTGTCTGAAAAAACAAAAACACGCGATTTGGATTAAAAAACATTGTTTCATATGTAATGTGTAAGTAGGTAACATAGTATGCTATAGATATTACATTTTAGTGTTAGACGTCTATGTTTTTTCCCATTAAAACGCAATTTAAAAAAATATCAGCATGTACCCAAAAACAATTTCATAATTCTGTCTCCCTATTTCAGATCGTCGAAAGAAGTTTGGAAGTCTTCAGCGTTCTTATAATAAAGAACGTGTCTTTGGATCATTGTGGAACATACACTTGTGTCGCCGCAAATCATGTCGCTAAAGTTAATAGGACTGTTAACTTGTATATAAAAGGTAAGTTTTCTGTTTTTGTCAAGGGCATTGAAGCCGACAATGAGACGGATCACTTTATGGAAATTGTAACCGATGCCTAGACAATTTGTTGTGTTAGGAATTCTTAATTTCACAAATTTGATGCTGCACACGGGACAATGCCTGCGCTTACATTTTTATTCTTGATGCCAAATGACGGGACGAACAAGTCGCGCGCCTGGTCGTAAGCGACATGCCTGTCTGTCCTGGTTCATGTAATGGCCTTGTGTGAACGTGCACCCTGAGCCACTCCACTAATTTGCCTTGCCATTTTTCAAGCGTCTTGGCAACGCAAGCACAGCGTATATCAAAGGCGTTCGGCACTATTTACTCCCATTCTCCGTCCGACATCGGTCCCAAACAATTACTGTCAAATAAGTAATACTCGACTAAATCAAAAGAACGTGAGTAGACCTCCAGCAGTCGCTTGCTGACGCCGCGCTGGCGTTGCGCTGCCAGTAAGCGATGTTGGCAAGGCAGAGGTCTCTTAAGAAACTTATTGTAATACTGGCTGTAGTGTACATGGACGTTGCGAATTTCGCACTTTTGAATTTCGAATTTCGCGGCTTAGTTTTGTGGAATGGCTCGTCAATAATAATTGGCTCCGTGTAAATGGGCTATAACTTCAAAAGTTGCTAAAAGGTGCTCTGATGGTGGAAAAAGTCGCGCAATGCAAAGACCTGTATGTAACAAATATAAAAAGAAATTCGTTAGATTTGCTAATTCGGTCTGTAGCTCAGTTGGTTAGGGGAAATGGCCTCGGTATGGCAACAGACGCTGGTTCGGATCCAGTTAGATTTTTCTTTTTATTTGATATGTGTTTTTTAAAATGCACACACTCATGGACACACAGATAAATAACCACAAATTACACCCAAACATACGAGAGAAATAAATATATACGTGGGCCATACAAATAATTCTCCCAGTCCGGGAGTCGAACCCGAGATCTCTGCGTGGCAGTCTAGCATGACAACCGTTCGACCATGGAGGCAGTTAATTATAATAATGATTTCACTTTCTATCAATAATAAATTGCGTCGGCTAAATTCGCAAACCTCGTATCCATTGCTGTTGAATAAGCACAAAAAACGAATTACTAGAAATAATTACATGACAATCTATGATCATATCTTTATTTTATAACTAAAAGAGTCTACAAATTATATTTTAAGCTTTGATTGCCCAATATTGCGCTGGAAGAGTAAAAAAGGGATTTCGTGCAATAACTGGTTTTCTGTATATGACTTTTCTAATTTACTCTGGTTTCTATGGTACTCATTGTATAGGAAGTTCCATAGTTTGAAATCAGGTAACAAATTTAAATGCGGTCTGGAACATTCTTAATTACATTATTCCGGTCACTTTAAAGTCGCTTTGTGGATTAAGAATCGATACTACCTCAGCTCGAATTCAATTTGTCTCCTACTAATGCGGTTAATTTTGCTTATGTCTGGCACTGGCTTTATTTCGGAGTTTTTCTTTTTACATACGAAATTAAAGGCATTTGAAAAATTTTAAATTGTATACTATACGTGTTCTATTTAGGTCAGTTCATATAAAAAAATCATTGGTATATGTAAAATACTCATTGAATACAGCAGCTTTCTTGTAAAATTTGGACGTAAGTTTGTGTTTTTTTTTTCTATCGTGAATTTTTTTATGAATCGTGTTTTCGTATCGTACAGCAATCAGTGTATATTCTCAATTTTACTGTATTGTATATATTCTTCCAAAGTGGTTGATTTAACACTTCAATGTTGTGCGGAATCAACAAAAGTCACTTGAGGTTGTATAGACTATTAAATAGATTGACTAAGGGTACTTATCTATGCGCGTTCTTTGCTGACGGAGAAGCTTACCGCTTAGTAAAGTGTATGTTTAAAATATTCAGTAGTCTCGTTTACAATATATCACGCAGTAAGTTTTGGAGGTCAGCTAACGTAAGCCCATGAAGGGGTCGCTGTCGAAACATTTTATCTTTGTACTTTACTTTTTATTTATTAAAATTCTGTCTACTTTTTCACATATAAAGAAAAAAAGAAAAATACACAATAATATAATATAATATATAACAGTAACGCGCACACTCTCATAGCCATACACTTATAAACATTATTTAGATGAACGCTAAAAAAGATTGGATGATTGAAGTGATTTACATGAACAATGTTCATGTAAATCACTGGCCACATAGACCATAACGTTTTATTTGAAAAAAAAAAGAATGACTACAATCGTATATCGTCGCCTTTGTCTCAAACTCGTATCCTATAGCATAAAATTACTGAAATGCAACAAATGGATTGTAGGTATATACAAATTTTGCGGGCTAATTTCACATCACATTGCCTTCATATTCACACACTGGCTTTTACCTATTCCCTCCCCATCCCTTTCCAAATTTAAAATAAATAGAAAGTTTTGCCATCTCCTTCATATCACTCTTCATATGATATAACTTTGAGAAAGTAAGGCATCGATATGTGCCTAGTGGTTTTTTTGAGTTCCTCTAAATATATCCACGAGTATATAGATTTGCGTAGCAATATCTCGACATTGCTTTGGTTGGAATATGCCCTAAGCACCCAGCAGTTACTAACTTTTGTGCGGAATATCGAAATTTTTCGACAAAGTTTAAACTTTTTCCATACTCTAAGGGCGTTTGCGCACACATCCGATTTGTATCTGTTCCAAATCCGAGAAGTGACGGTCCGAAATATCACAGGAATCATTTTATCTCTAGGTGCACAAGCGAAGTGCGTCCGTGTTTTCTAGATTTGTATAGTCTCTGATTTGGAACGAATACGATACAGAGCACAAACGATTTCTGTGGGCGATTACTACACTTTGGAAATGAAACTATTTTTAGCAGTAGCCACGTTGAGGCGACAGACGCTGGTTCGAGTCTAGTGAGCTCGAACGAAATTCTTCATTCAAACAAGAGTGTTTTTTTAAATAATACTAATTGACGGGACGAACAAGTCGTGTGCTTGGTGGTAAGCGTCACCCCTGTCCCTAACAGTTGCAGTGTCACTCAGAGCTTTAAATCGCAAAGGTCTCAAGGGCACTGTCACTGCACCCGACACCCTGAGACATAAGTTGACAAGTCTCATGTGCCTGTAATTGCACCAGCACCCTTACTGCTTGGCGGCAGAAATAGGTAAGGTGGCAGTACTTCCCTGGACGAACTCTTTCACAAGGACCTCTAATGCTACTGTTCTTTTATATAAGCCAGATAATCTAAACGGTATCTCTCAAGCCTTTGTTCTTGAGTACTGCATTTATAAATAAATCTCCAATGCATTTTTTTTAGTCGAGTCGAGTGAGTCTTGTAGAAAATAGATGGTGTGTCAAAAACATAAGGTATTTAACTTTTCGATATTCTGATGTATATTTCAGATCAGTTGGCACGGTAGCCTCGATTGGGTCTTTGTACCGATAATAATAACAACCTATTGGAGTATCTCTCGTTGTTAGTAGCTGAACGCCTCAAATTGTGAAAGAGTTTGTCCAGAGAAATACCGCCGACACCTTACCTACCTATTTCTGCCGTCAAGCAGTAAGCATTCTGCATTCCGTTTTTGAATGTTTTTTTTTATTTTTTATAATACGAAGTGACGGTACGGGTAAGTCGTGCGCCTGGTGGTAAGGTACACGCCTGTTCATAACAGTTATAGTGCCACTCAGAGCTTTAAATCACAGAGATCTGAAGGGCACTGCCATTGCGCTCGACACCCTAAGACATATGTTGACAAGTCCCATATGTCCCTGTAATTTTACCGGCATCCTTAACCCTTCGAAACCGGAATACTTGGTGGCAGAAATAGGTAAACTGGCAGTACTTTCCTAGATGAACTCTTTCACACGGAGCTCTACTGCTACTAAAAAGGGTATTGGTGAGTGCTGGTGAAATTACAAGTGACATTGCCCCTCAGATCTTTGCGATATAAAACTGATTTGCATATTCTGTCGCTTACTACCGGACGCAGGACTTGTTTGTCCCGTCGCTTGATATTATAATGGTAAAAAACAAAACCCAAAAATATTTAAATATCGTCCGATATTCATTGTAAATAGATATAAAGGAATTTAACTGATAATTCGCAGTAAAAACCGTTAGGAGTTATCTTTGAATTTTAACTTGCGACAGTCACCGGAAAGCCATTCCGATAATCCAACATTAAACTCTCAAGGCAATACTTAACTTTTGTATGAATTTTTCGTTTAATCATTATATTTTCTGTATTTTGTTCCCAGTTGCACCAAAATGGAGTGAAGAACCGCAAAATACATCATTACTGTTGGGCAGGAGCGGTCATATTTCATGTAGTGCTAATGGATACCCACAACCGCAAACGCATTGGTTGAAAAAAGATTGTAAGAATTACTCATATTTTTATATAATAAAAATTTTATTTGAATTAAATTAATCTTAGACTCTGTAATACTGATGCATACTACGCGATATTTTACTGGATTTGGCTACTGCTGACACCCAAACTTCTTCAAAAGGAGTTTCTGAATCTGCAATTTGGCCAAATTGCCTGAAAACTTTAAAATTCTAAGTTAAAGGCAAGGTTCATTTTTTCTTCTGTTTCTTACAGCTTTAGTTAATTTTCTTTTTAAAAAGTTACTATATAATTTCTAGAAATACTTCACTGTTTGCTATTTCGCTTTCGTTGTTCTGTACAACAAATTTCATAAATACGGTTTTTTCTAAATCATTCCGATGCCTCCAATAAACAATACGCCAACTTAATTTTTGGACCTGTTCTGTTTTTAATTTGTTTTTTGTTTCTTTCACAAAATTTGGAGAGTTAGTCAATAAATATGGCAGTTTACAAAAATAACAGAAAATGACCATAATATAAAGTTGGCGTAGAACACGTATCGAAAATGGAGGTATTGATTCTGCAAAATTCTTTATGGAATTCACTGCGGTTGGTAGAAGGTAAATGTCCGTATATTTTCAGTAATATCAGACAACTGGCGCCCGGTGCTCGAAGTGGCAGGCGGGGGAGTTCTCAGTCTATCAAATGGCTCTCTAATATTCGATTCAGTAGCTCTATCTGATGCTGGGCTTTATACATGCCATGTTGAAAATGGAGTCGGAGAAGCACTGAGCAAGACTATTTGGATTTCCGTTAACAGTTAGTAATTTTAGAATATATTCCAAACCGATTTTATCTGTGATGTCTGGTACAAAGTTAAGCTTTATAGCTTCATTATACTCATTATACAACCGAAGTCTTTTTTATGATTGTTGAAAATAGGCATAATAATTATAACATATAAAAACTTACCTCAAAAGTTTGTGGAATTACATATTTGCAAAGTTTTATTGACATTGGTTAAGGGAAAGTGAGTAAAATCCAATAAAACCGAATTCATTCCTTAATTAGCCATCTTTAGAGGTGGAATATTTTCTTCAAATTTAAATGGAACCACTACTGAGGTACCTCCTTTCCAACAAAAAAAAAAAGAAAAATTAAATCGGTTCACAAATTTCAGACTAATCCCGTAACATATAAAAATAATACAGTCGAATTGAAAACCTTTGTTTTACTTTTTGAATGAAATTGCACTCTTTAAAACGATTTATAAGAATTAATTAAAACTAATTCAACGAAAATAATGCCCTAACTCAAACACTTAATGTTCCATGTTTTAGAACCAGTAACATTCGGTTTAGTATCACGGAATATGACATCGAAACTTGGACAGCACGTCTCTATTGAGTGCCAGGCGAAAGGAGATGATCCAATAAGGATTATGTGGACGAGAAATGGGAATCCTATCAATCCTTTGACACAAAGGTATGCTCTCTTGGTAGGAGAAATTTCCCTTATTGAAACTGTGAGAATTTTAATACGTGATAAGTCAAGACGACTGCTAATCTCCACACTACAGATCTTAACTCTGAAAAAGGTCAAAATCCCGCCTTATATCTAGATAACGCTGATCGATAGCCTGAAAGTAGTTTATAATATTATGTAAATGACAGTGGACATTAACAACCAGCTGCACCCGCGAAGACCTTCTAAATTCAACAGATAGAGACAGATAGAGGTGGAAGCTTACTGGGCCAAAGAAACATAACACTGCTTTTTTTATTGGTTTTTCTTATTGACTCGAAAAGAAGAATTTTAACATACCATGCAACCAGATCAATGATGCTGAATTTTGACGACCTCAGTGGTCAAGTGGCTTTGCATGCCGGTTTTCATGGTGTCAAAATCTCTGAAGTCTCGGGTTCAATGTAGAAAACTAAATTTTCAATATTTTTTCGGGTCTGGGTGTTTGTATTACCGTCGTTGTTTTCAAAGACGGTATAACAAACGCAAGTGCTTTAGTTATTTACTTTGGGGTTTGATCCCAAACATGTGTAATGTTGTCTAATATAAAATAAATGTTGTCCAATACAATGTTGTTTAATAAATTTCATTAAATTCTTAGGGTGAAAATATCAGAAGTGAAAACAGAAGATGGAATGACGAGTATACTAGAGTTGTTACAAACAGAAACCAGTGACGGTGCTTTATATCAGTGCAAAGCGAGTAACCCTTATGGAGCTGATGTGTATAGTGTTCATCTCAATATTTTAGGTAAGTGTACAATTCATTTATTTATAAAATATTTTATACAATAAGAAAACAAAGGCACTATGGCAAAGATGAAGAAAAGAAGCACAGAAAAGTAGCGTAAGGTCCTTGGCTTAGTTAGTAGTGCGTATAACACGAATTGCTGAAAGGTGCTGGTTCGAATCCAGCCGGATCGAAGGATTTTTTCTTAGTGTTCGATCTTTGTATTAACAATTATAACAAATAAGTAAAGTAATTTCACAAAGAACAATTGAATCAACATCGTGACATTCATTAAACTTAATTATAGTTATTAAAACGACATCTCTAGTCAGCTGCTGGTAGCTGTAAAGACACCAGAAAAAAAAATGGCGAGCTTTTGAAGTTACATGTACAGCTTTTCCAAAAATAATTTTTATTTTAATTATATTATGAAGAAAAAAAGAAATAGTGATGAAGAAAGTTAAAACTATATTCCTTATTTTAAACCAAATTACAAAAGATTTCTAAAAAAAAGACTATCCGGAAAATTCCAATAATTACGAATGCAAAGTTTTTGTTCAATTGACAGAAGATATTGTAATTTAAGTGAAAGTGAAAACGTAAATATTGACTCCCGCAGCTTAACTATTTCAAAAATCCAAATAAGTGAACTAAGTTATTAAAGAGAAAGTGATAATGTGTTAGAATCACAATGAAAAATATTACTGAGGATCCCAATAATTAAACGAAGACATGGCACAAACGACTGGTACCCAAACCAAAATTCTTAATAAATAAGTAAAGGCACCTGGCTGAGTGTAGAAATAGATTTGTCACAGATGGCGCTACGGCAAAAAAGTCGTTAAAAACCAAAAACAAAGATCTGCAACAAGCACATAGAAAAATTTGTAATGTCTGATGGTTCGTTCCGTGGCTTTGTTGGCAGAGCGTCTAGCACGGATTGCTGGAAGGCGTTGGTTCGAATCCAGTCGGATCGGAGGAATTTTTCTTAATGTTCGATTTTTGTATTAATAATTATAACAAACTATAAGTAATTATTCCAGTAATCTTATAAAAAAATATTTGAATATCATGGTTGTAAAACATAGCAACATTCAATTAACTTAATTGTAAAATAACACTTAAATTAATATTTCGTCGCCTTACCTTCTCAAACTCGTATTTTAAAGTACAAAGTTACTGAAATGCAAAAAAATAGTACAGCGTAATAAAAACCGACCTAAATGGGATCACATCGGAGGTACCCTCTTTCCAATAAAATAGAATCACCAAAATCGGTTCAAAAAAATGGCCGGAGTTATCGCGTACATACATGCAAATTGAGATTCATATTCATACATTGGCTTTTACCTACTCTTAAAGTAATGCATCCACATTAATAAGATAAGAAATTAAAAATAAATAGAAAGATTTGCCATCTCCTAAATAATCACTCTTTGCAAGATACAAGTTTGTGAAATTAAGGCATCGATTTAAAAAAAACTTTTGACCCAAAAGTCAAGAAAGTCCAAACACGATGATTGTTCTACCACTTCTACTGTATGTAGTTCAAGAGTTGGTTAGTCTATAGACTGCCCTGGTTGCAGCATCTGAGTAAATTTACCATATTATTGTAATGTCATCGGATTTCCACAATACAACAAATTTCAATTAGACCGGACAAGTGAAAGTAAATAAATATCTATTTTCTACCCCTGTACGTTCTGTCAATTATAATTTTATAAACCATATCACAAAGGCGCTCTTTTTAGTTCAGAATCAAAGTTCCATTGTCTGTGGTACTCGCTACCAAACTGACAAATTTCGTTACAGTTCTATACAAAGAACTTTAATTTACGTAAATAGCATACATATTACATAATTACATAAATTGGCATAATGATCTTGCAAGCGGGCCATAAACGTTTGTTATAAAAAAAATGATTAAAGTTTAGGCGGTACTTGGCCACTTCTATTCCGTCTTTTTGTTTTTTGTTTTGTAGCATTTGTTTGACATTCGTGTAAATATATGAAGAGGCTGTACGGTAGAACCTTTGCCTACCCTAAATAAATGTGTGAAAATTTATTTAAAAAAATTGGAGTGTTATCATAGATTTAACAAAATATACATTAAATATTGGTTGCGTTGCGAGGTCTTAAAATCTCGTACCATTGTGCAACGATTGCATAAAATACTATTTTATTACTGAGATCTCTACACTAAGTGGAAAAAGAGCTAATGACCTTTAAACAGCTGAATAAATGTTCATCAAACGCTGTAACTATATCGGTTACAAAAAAAAACCGCACGTCAACGAAACGCTAGATCTGCCGAAAACGTCGCCGCTGTTCGTGAGAGTGTTCAGGAGAATTTGAGGCAGTCTATTATGTGCGCATCGCGGCTACAATAGCATACCCATTTTGATAATAAATTTTCATCATTTGCACCTGTTACTCGTCGCTGTAACTTGCCATTACGATTTGTCTTTAGTGACTGAAAAATAAACAACAGGTTTGGCAAAAGCAGTCTGAACAACATAGATGGTATGAATCTTACTCACCCTAAATGGAAAACCCTGTATTATTGGAATCTGTTTCCCGAATACAATTCAAAGTGGTACACCCGGCGATTTTTAGCAGCAATGCAAACGCGTGACTGCATCGATGCAAACGAGCGACTGCATTGATATAAACGCTCGATTGCATCGATGCAACCGCCTGTGAATTCCAAGTGTAGCGATGCAATCGCGCATTTGTATCGATGCAATCGCGCATTTGTATCGATGCTTAAAATAGCGCGCTTGTGTAAAGCTAGACGATAAGCGACTGCATTGCGACTGCATCGCTACTGCATCGCGTTTGCATCGCTGCTAAAAGTGCCGTGTGTAACCGCTCTTAGGGCCATTTAAGGTTGGAGTGAATGGAATTTTTTAGACAAACACGTGCCTTCATCGGTCACATCATTGCTCCATCAAAATCGTTGAGATTGTAGCTAAACATGTGTCTATTATACATATAATATGTATAATGAAAATGTTAAGATGGATCGTCTCACAGAGATTAACTAATATCGCAATATTGCGTTTCCTTATGGCGTTATGCCCAAAGAGCATAATGTATTAAATAACAGATGGGCGTATATGTATATATTCATATATACAAGAGGCTTCGAGAGGATCAACAATACCCAGCAGTAAATTGAATGAACTATTTAAATAAATCATAAAAAATATTCCGATTGTTTTAGAACCACCCTTACCACCAACGGACTTATCGGTGGATTCAATCAAAAGTCGGTCAGTAAAGTTGTCGTGGAGAGATATGACCAGATCATTAGCGCAGTACTACAATCTGCAGATTACAAACAGTCAAAGATTATCTTGGAGTAGTGCTAAAACAATTAATATTACCAGGTAAAGAGAATTTTCTGTTATATTTTTAGAAGGCTTAGAGCCTATGCAAATGTTATACTTTATATGCACCGCAAACTCGCTGCAGTCGTGCGTATCTATCGCGCATTTTGATAAGAGATAGTTTTAATTTTAGTTTTTTTTGTTAATTTCAGTAAATTTTTGAAATGAAGCAACTACATGAAATTCTAATTATAAACTAGTGGAGCTTCTTGATTGCAACGCGACATTTGCGCGCGTTTAAATCGATATACTAGCGCAGTGCGTCTGTTGACGGCGCCGTAAACGCGAGTCGTCGGTGCGTATAAAATACGCGGTGTGCATAGGTTCTAAGTCCTTTTAGTCCTTTTTTTCTTCAACTTAAGAGCATCGGTCTTCTTGCTGTACTAACAACCTTGCAGGACTATATTACTGACATCATAAACAACTACTTTTACTTCCATGACTTTTAATAAATCAACAGATTTTACTTTCGTTAAAAAAAATCGCTCTAAACGGTTGTAACTTAGTGCGGTATACTAGCATAAGTACCAGTCCGATGCAAAACGCAGAATCAGGGGTGGAGGTTATTTATTTTTGGTAAGTTTATTGGTCACATTATTGCGTTCCGGTTTTGAAAGGAAGGGTGTTGGTGAAATTACAGGCACATGGAACTTGTCAATTTATGTCTCAGGGTGAGGGACGCGGTCGCAGTGCCCCTCCGATCTTTGTGTTTTAAAGCTCTGAGTGGCACTGACACTGTTATGAACAGGCGTGTCGCTTACCATCAGGTCCACGTCTTGTTCGTTCAGTCACTTGGTATTATAAAAAAAATTGTAAAAAGTCGTTGAACAAAAGTGGTCGTTTCTAATATTAGTAATTTAATCCTATACAAATAATTTTAATCTATTCTGTGCAGCCTTTTGTCTATGTTACCTCTTCGTCTTTTTGATAAATTAATTTTATCGTTTTGTAGTTATTTATCATCTATCATGTCGTGATATAAAAGATTAATGAAAAATTTTGCAGGCAAGATGAGATACGACACTCTGTAGAAGTGGATGATCTGCAACCAGCAACAAGTTACACGGCCAGAGTCGCTGGTGGTAATCAGGCCGATTTGAGTCTCTATTCTGCCCCTGTCAGATTTACTACTACTGAGGAAGGTAATAATCATAATTTACCCTATCTAACTCATGAAGGTTCCGTAACTTATTCCCTTAAATTCTGTCCTAGCACCATCATCACCACCCATCGGGGTTCAGTTAGAACAGACGGACTCTCCAGGTGAACTTCGAATAAGATGGTTGCCACCACCAGCTGATGCTCATAACGGTCTTATTATTGGATATCGAGTAAGAGCTGTTCCACAGTTGAGTGGAATTAAAGGTACGTAGTTTTCTGGGATTGATAACCGACTTCAAAAAAAGGAGGAGGTTCTCAATTCGACTGTATGTTTTTTTTGTATGTATAACTCCGGTATTTGTGCACCCATTTTGATGATTCTTTTTTTGTTGGAAAGGGGGTACCTCCATAGTGGTCCCATTTAATTTTGAAGATAATCATCCACCTCTAAGAGTGGCTGTTCACGCATGAAGATTCATTTTTATAAATAGCGCCTAAGTTTTATTATAAAGAGCAATTATTTTAATGGTTGATTTTGCTATTCTTTAATTCAAGGCGTTTTTCTGTCTCAATATACTTTGAGTAGTAAGAACCGATTTTTATTATCTCCTGTGTTAAGTTCCGTATAGTGGCGAACTAGTGCGGATTCATATCCGACCTTTCCGGTAACCGATTTCAAAAAAAACTTGACAAATACTTTTGAGGTCGGTTTTTTTAGTAATCTCTACTGAGATTATATAATAACGTAAGTTACTTTGTAATGATAGTCAATTATATTTTGAAATCACTCAATTGCGTTACAAAATCTTATTTCATTTCTTGCCTAATTCCCAAAGTTTATCTCTCGTTCCAAAGGATTATCGGGTTCGTGATCTGTTCTTAATAGCAACAATTTTCCTCGTCCATATTTCTGTTTTGAAACATTAATTTCTTATTTCAGAATCAGAAGAAGTTAGTGACAAAATAGTAAAAACTGCATCACTATATTCGAAACAAGAGACTATTGTATCTGGACTTCTTAAAGGGGTTAGGTAAGTTATTGTTTTGGTTTTTATTATCAACTTTTTAAAACGACCCATTCACTGCATGGCAGTCCATCGCGCAGGCAAGAGACTGAGCTGTCTTTTGCCTGCGCGACACATTATCCTGCGTGTGGCCCTCGTATAGGAGTCTCGCAGAACGCATTGCAGGATTGCATGATGGCTTGTACGCTGCGATTACATTCATAATACTGCATTACGCGGCAGATGGCAAGGCAGACTGCAATGCAGGATAATGAATACCCCCTTTAAGCTATTTCAATATTACTATAGATCACCGTAAACACTTATTATTAACAATTCATTTCTGAGGACGCATTATCACTAAACTATTTTTTTTAATCTGGAAAAACGGACTTTAGCGCTTATGCCATAATTAACATCTGTATTTAAATTAAAATTTAAAAAAATCCGATACAAAACGGTGTATTCCAAAAGGCAATAATGTCACCGTACGGTAACAACTCGTAGAGACAAATTTGACGAACGAAACACTGCAATGTTATTGAATTTCCATACTATAACAAATTGCAAGGCGATCAGACAAACGGAAGTAAAATAAATATTCATTTTATGACTGAGATACCTACACTAAGGGCGCGTTCCCATTATGTCGTGACGACAGATAGTCGTGCAGCTTAAAGTGTCGTGGCTTGTATATTTAAATGAAGTTGTTCACACATAGAACAACACGATTAACTGTCGTTCACGACTTTTTGACGTTACAACGACAGACTGTCGTGACAATGGGAAAACCTAGAACGACAGTCGTCCGACAATAAATAAAACATCACGATAAAAATGTGACGACAGATAATCGCAGCTTCAAAAGATTCTGTCGTGCAAACGACAAGGCAGCTGCCGTGAACCGATAAAATGTTATCACGATCAGTGGGAACAGCTCTAGGTACGACAGTCGTTCAACAATAAAATAAACGTCTACTACACACGACAGACAATCATGATATGGGAACAGGCTAAACGCGATAGTTGTCCAACGATACACAAAACTTTACGACATAATGGGACAAGAGCTGACGATCTTTAAACAACTGAACCGATGTTTAATAAACGTGGCTAAGAGTCGTACCAATTAAAATAGTCTTCACATAATTAATCCATCTGTTTGAGAGCTACGATGCCACAGACAGACATGTAAAATCATCCTTTAGCCAAGCTACTACATTACACAAGATTATTTTTGTTTATACATACAGTAAAATTTACCTAATTAAAAGAATTTTCATCAGGTACGCGGTGTCAATAGCAGCCTTCAACAACGCGGGTACAGGCCCTTTTTCAATTCCCCTCTTCCAAGATACGAGGGAAGGAGGTAAGATTACCAAAACTTTACAACTTGGCTCGCGAAATTGTTAAGAATTATGATAAATTATTATGCAAAGTCGCCTACTCTAAAGTTCTTAACAATGTCATTGTGAGACGTTATGTCGTTGAACAAAATTTTAACGTTAATATAGGCTTAAGACGACGACATGATTGCGTAAGTCATAAAGTTGGGGAAGCCGTGTAGTCATTCGTATAGTCATTCGTCATCGGACGTCTGTTCTAAAAATAAGGTTCACTATAAGGGTCGCCTCAAATTGCCGCAGCTAGGCGACACGCTTTTTTTTTTTTTTTTTTTTTATTGTGACTCGGCAAAATGACTGCACCGCGCCTGATGGAAAGTGCTACGCTGCGACGACATCGAGCAACGCTAGCATAAACTTCATCTTCTACAAGACAACGATATATTTCTTTATACAGTACATGGAAAAGAAGAACGTCGAACTGCGCTGAGTGCACTTTATAAAAAGCAATATGATATAGAACACATTCTCTACAAATAAAATATACACTTCTTCTAACAATACAGTGAAAACCGTTACACAGCTCGTTACAGGATCACATAAAATCACAACCACGACACACGATTTTTTAGTATTGTTAAATACAAAACCAATAAAAGGGAAAAGGGTGTAAACAGTAGCCAATGTCTGTGCCCAACAACCCATACATGTCCTATGTTAATATACATCGTAGTTTACCAGTGGCCGGTAGGAACCTCGGAATAAATTGAGGGCTGTGTACGTTGATGCTGTCCACGGGGTGCTCCCGCATTTGAAAAAAATAAAACCTAATTTTTCTACATAAACTATAATAAAAAATATATAATATTTTTCCTTGAAATTTTTTGTGTTATTATTTTTATAAAAAAATTCATGTTTTCAATAAATTTTTGTGGTGGTGGTTTTTTATCTTGCCTAAGGGGCGGTAAGCCAGAAAGTGTGGAACCTATGATATAGATCAAGGTCATAGCCATCGGTGGTGTAAACAAATTCCAAGTCCACGCTAAAATTTATACCGATCGGTGTTTAGCTGGATATGGCAGGACAGGCCAGATAAGGCAGTCATGTATTTCGTTCAACGCTGTAACAAAATGTTAATATTTCACAATTTGTACGTAACACGTAAATTAACAAAACACTGTTTGGCCCAAAGTTTCCCTCGTAAAGGCTTATCTCGCTCATAAACATTTTCCTCTCTCTAAACTTTCTTATTGTTATTATAATTACTTCGCACCTTTTGTAAGCTTTTAATTTTTTTAAATTAGAGATGCAAAAGGTCTTATTAAATGCCCTTCTTGGAAACTTTGGTGACAATTTTATTATTTTCCATTGTTCTTTCATTCATCGTCGCAAAGGAAATTATTCTTTTTTTATTTAATATTTAAGACCGAAAAGTTTTAATTGTTAAGGGATGAAATTCAGTATAGTGTACATGTCTCAAACTCTATCAAGAAATGTGCTTTGTCATCAAAAATCAAGAATCAGGAACTTATATACTTTCATGATAAGCATTATGCAAACTGTCTGGTCTTGAGACTGCACTGCACATCTCTCTTTTGTATTAAGGCCTCACCACACTCGCGCGTGTGTGACAGCGCTAATCGCGGTGCGGATCGCGCCAGAAACTGCTACAGTTCCACACTCGCAGAGATTCACGCCTGGTTTACAGTATAGTTCGCGCGCTTGACGAAGATGGATGCCGATTTCGCTTTGGAGATTTACGATTATGCTTTTATAAAAAAAAAGTTTATTAAAAAAAATGCTAGAACAATCTAAAGATGTCAGTTCTATTTCATTTGTCAAATCCACGGCAATTTTAAGCACGTGCAAATCATCAACAATAAAAATACAAATGCAACCGTCTACAGCACTTATTTATCACGCGAATGTAGAGCGTTGTCGCGTCCATGCCAAGTTCGCGCTTCGCGAACCTTTTGTCGCAGGATGCAATACCGACAACAATCGGGAACGGGCCGCGAACTCGGCGCAAAGCCGCAAAGAATATGTGAATGGATCCACACGGATGCTTCGTGGGTAGTTTGCGCCTTCGCGTTAGTGTACAGAGGCCACTATGCTCTAGAATGATTACCAAAATAGGACTTATAGTAATGGATATATACAAATGTTTTGTCTGGCTAGAATGTACCTCAAAACATTATACTTTCCAAACTCCAAGAAAAAGTAATAACACTACAATTTAGGAAAAATCCAGTCGCAATATTTGTCCCAGTATCAATTACAACTTTGTTCAAAATATCATATACTCCGGCGCCGTCTTGAACAATTGCGAAGTGTAATAAATTCCGACAAGTTTTGAAGAAAGTTACGCGTACCCTCAACTTGGCCGTAGCGATTTCTGCGTCCTACAATCAGATCTTTGTTTCAAAGATACTTGTATTTGCTAGTCATTTGATTTTGTACTTTCCCTGATCATTTTATCATTTCAGGTTATCCGTTTTTGAATTTGCAATAGATACAAACAATTTATTATTTATCCAGGTCGACAATCATTGATGATCCTCGTAATATGAACGGCCCTACCGAACGTGTTATCGGAACACCAACTTTACAGGAACAATAAAAAGATAAAAACAAAGGAAAAACATCAATAACTATACGCCTTAACTTTTCCAAAATGCATATGACGAAAACGATGTATATAAATTAACGTGTGTTCGTAAAAGAAACTAATTGAAAAGGTTTTCAAGATAATGTGAAGAAACCATTTTTTTTTGTGAAATATATTTGCACAACAATTTCGAAGAACTTTGCACAATCTTTAATGTAAAACGCAAGCGTATCACACTAAAACTTTATACTAGTGAAATAAGGCTGTCACAATAAATAAATACTTTTGCGTGCTTATTGTACGAGACAATACCAAAAAGTAAGATAAAATAAACTACAAGAATATACACGCAAAGTACTTTTACAGAAACGACAAGATGCCCTGTACAATTGTACATGTTTTTTAATCGACTTCAAAAAAGGAGCAGGTTCTAGACTGTATGTTTTATTTTGTATATATAATATGTTACGCGATAACTCCGGTGTTGTGAACCGATTTTGATGATTCTTTTTTGTTGAAAAGAGGGTACATCAGAAGTAGTCCTATTTAAATTTGAAGAAAATAATCCACCGCTAAGAGTGGCAAACTAGAGGATGAATGACTTTTGAGGTCGGTTTTTTAGTACTCTGTACTGATTGTCATATTACTTAAACTTAAGAGAATTATACGTAAAATTTATATTTATGTTTACCCAAGAAAAAATTAGATTACTAGTCTTTTTTGTGTGAAAAAAATTTGAGAGGTTCATATATTTAGTGGCAGTGGAGCTCCTTGTGAAAGAGTTCCTCCAGGGAAATACTGCCACCATACTTAGTTCTGCCGACAAGCAGTAATGTGAGCATTATTTGGAAGCGAGCAGGTGCTGGTGAAATTACGGGCACATGGGACTTATCAACTTATGTCTCAGGATGACGGGCACAGTGGCAGTGCCCCTAAGATCTTTGCGTTTAAAAGCTCTAAGGGGCACTGCAATTGTTATCGATAGGCGTGTCGCTTACCACCAGGCTCACGACTTGTCCGTCCCGTCACTTGGTGTTATAAATAAAGAAATGTAGAACATTATAGCCTGTTAAAAAATATTGAGTAAAACCTTTTGCACGTTAATTCAATGGGGACTTCGATTTATTCGCTTATTAGTTATTATTATAACTGCCTCCGTGGCGCCGAACGGTTACCATGCCGGACTGCCACGCAGAGGTCCCAGGTTCGATTCCCGGGCCGGGAGAAATATTTGTACGGCCTACATTTATTTCTCTCGTGAGTTTATGTGTAATTTGTGGTTGTCTATGTGTGTGTCCATCGCATCCGCGACACAGGGTTTCCCTAGTGCGGGGCTATGTCGAGTGTGTGCGTTATTATTATTATTATTCCTTACAGTAATAGTACATTGAGTCATAAGGCGGTAAGTAGGCAATTACGAGCAGAGAGACAGATTCGCCTGAACCGAAGGGCTTTAACGGCCCGAATATTTGTTATTGTTACTCCGCCCATGTGGCATACAATGTTTTCCAACATACTTGCGAGAAAGTTAAAGAAAAAGAAAATCAGACTTAAAAAGTTATAGTTTGTTCATATTACATTTATGAAATTTTAAGTATCTCAGAAAAAATCTCGTGTAAACAATGATATTTTTTTCTTCAACTGAAACTCAACTCAAAAAACTGTTTGCTTTGACTTTTACATGTGAATGAAACAAAAACATTTTTTACATTATGATTGTTATAGTTATGTATCTTTTATTTATATTATGTATTATTTGTACTTGTTTTAATAAACAAATAAAAAAAAACTTCAAATATAAACAAATGAAAATACAATATAACATACAAATAAATATAATAATACTTATAATAATACTTTTTATTTCTCCACAAAATACAACAACAAATAAGAAGTACATAAACAATCTTAGTAATTTTAGAACAGTATTTTGTAGGAGCTGGTGCTTGCTATAGGCTTAACACCTGTGCTACAAGTCACCAGGCCCCAACCCTAGCAAATGAAACATATGTTACTAAGTATACATATACCAACCACAAATTATATGTATGAGAGAAAAAATAAATAAATAAATAAGTTACGGTAACAGAAAAACCTTCGAGATAATTCTTCTATGTGCGCGCGCTGTGTGTGTGTGTGTGTGTGTGTGTGTGTGTGTGTGTGTGTGTGTGT